ATTTAATGTTTTCATATTACTATTGTTATTTCTATTACACTAAAAAGTAATTTTACAAAAGGAAGAAGGATATATGAACATTGTATGAATATATTTCATATAAAATTATATGTGTTTATGAATATTTATGTATGTTTATACATATTTATACATATTCATGCATGAAAAATTTTTTATCAGGTATCCCAATTACTACTTTACTAGCAATTTATTGTGAAATATTGGTTAAATATTGGAGATTTATTGGAAACTATGTACTATTATATATATAGGATAAGAGTTGGGTAAGAACTAAAGTATATAATCGCTTTTGTGTAAAAAGAACGTGTATGCAAGATATTGCTCATGATTAGCACAAATAAAATTGAAAATGTTATTTTCATGTTTACTGATACGGAAATCTCTTAATAAGACAACGTTTATCTCAACTTTTTTAACTGTACCATTCCACAATTTAATAATAGCAATCTCGCTAACTAAATTCTTATTAAAGACCAGCTTAAATCATCTTGAATTTGAAATTATTCTTTTTTTTAAATTAAGAAATAAGTTTTAAATTAAAAATAATTTTTAGATTTTTTTTAATCCGGTTTTATTTTCATTATATAATTCGTAAAAAATCATTGTGTGATATGACTTATATAAACTATAATTCTTTGGAATTAATATTATTTAATAATATTAGTATCACAATATGTATATACATAATATTATATATATAAATATTATATAAAAAAATTATATATACATTATAATGTATATTGTAATAGAAATATCTTATATATCGCTTATTAATTTCGATACACCTTATTCGATAATTTTTCTGTTAAGAATGAATATGACATAAAATTTTATTTTGACTTAAAATTAGAATCTTCAAAAGAATTTTTGACGAATCGTATGGTCACTTTTTAAGATATGTATAATAATTAAAAAATTCAATATTAATATGACAAAAATAATTGTTATGTTAAATATTATTGACGAAATCGATTTCAATCACTTTGAATTAAGTATTATTAAAAAAAAAATAGATTTACATAGATTTCCAACTTTCCGCGCAAACTTATTTCTGATTTGAAACTAATTTAGTTCAGTATATGTATACATATATGTACATAAATTAAAGCCTTACCTTCCGAAAATTGTAACTTATTTATTATTCTATGGAGTATTTATATTTTTTAATATTATTTTGCTGTAGAAAAATGTACTAATCGATATTTTGATGCATAAAATATGATTATTTAAATAAATATTTCAAAATTACTGAATGTTTTTTACTTCAGATTAGCCAAAAAACTTTTGATTTTTTCTTGCATGAATAGATTGAATATAATTGTTAAAAAGAAATTATATATATATATTATA